ACACACACACACACACACACACACACACACACACACACACACCGTCCTATGGAGTCCAATCAGTGCTTTAAATCACATTCATACACTGATGGGACACACATCAGAGGCAGTGGGGGTTCAGTATCTTGCCCAGGGACACTTCGACGTGTGACTGAATAGTGGTGGAATTGAACCTCCAACCCTCACAATGGAGGACCATTCCCCTACCCACTCAGCCACAGCCTAATGAACCAAAATAAAAATAGAAAACTTTACATGTTTATAACCAAAGAGCACAAATTATTGCTCCAACCATCTCACTGGCAATCTCTCACCCTCTCTTTTTCAAATTAAAGTTATATATTTAATATTGCTGTCCCAGAGTACCACTGAGTGCTGACATACATGTGAAACCTCAGACTCACTAGTGATCTCTGCTGAAACCTCGTTATAGGAACTCAATATTCAGCAACCAGCAATGAACAGTTCTCTCCTGAGTCCTACTGTGCTGAATTCAAATGCAACACATGGCTTTACTGGCTGGTTTTCTACTTCCTCTTTCTTTCCTCTACACCAAGACTTTGGATGACTAATTTTGGTTTGGTTACAAAACTCTCAGTACTTTACCTTCAAAAGATTGGAATAATTTCAAAGTGTTCTTTGCAGCACTGATAATGTGATAATAAGATAGAGAGTGGTTCAGACCTCTCCCTATCTTTATTGCTCTACATGTCACACTGAAATACTTTTGCATGATTGCTCAAGCAGATTCGGCACATGCACAAAGAGCAGCATGTTGTATAATCAGGCTGAGCACTACCTAACTTAAGGGCTGTTGCAGGTACTTAGTTACAGTAAAAGCTGACTTTTAAAAAAAAGCCTTTTGTCAGTCTTTTATCTGACCATTTATTTCTTGGTAATGTAAAAAAAGTGCTGTGTTTCATGCAGCTGCTTTGTGGCCAGGTCAAAAGTCTGATGCAGATATAGAGAGAAATGTGACAGTGTATTGAGTTAAGATAAGCCTCTCAGTAGGAGGTGATGGTGTAGAGGTGGGAAGGGCAGACTTTGGAACCACGTCCCTGGCTGTTCCTCTCGGCCTCAGCAGCAGCACACCGGTTTGTGTTTTCTTGTCTAATGGAAAAGATGAAAATTGATTTTGCGCCTTTGGACGTGCCCCTTGACAGGAGGCTACAAACTGCTTCGCTGGTGCTGTGGGTCTTCTCTTTCCTCGCCATGGGTAAGTGTTTGTGGTCAAACTGAAACTCCCAAAGACAGCAAATCAGCAGCAGAGTGTATAAAGTACACATTTGTTGGACTCAGTTTGCCTTTCTCTGCTGGAAGTGTTGCTGTTGTTGAAATGACCTGAGCAGCATATAAAGCAGTATGATACTGTCATCAGTCAGCATTTAAACTAATTTATTGTGATTTACCTCTGCAAGATTGGTGCAAAATATCAGTGTTCAATTAAACTTGAAACTGTAAAAAAAAAGCCCACTATGGTTATACAGTTTGTGTAGTCACTGCTAACACAAAGTATTTGTCCATAACCTTCAGCAGGGAGCCCTTTTCTCAACAAATGTCCACTCTTGAACTCATAGTTAAGCAACTGGTTCATAATGATTGGAGGTGTGTCCCAATGAGACACTAGCTTGTTGCTGGAAGGGTATTGATCTTTGCAACAATAAATAAAAAAATAACATTTTAGCTACTTTGAAGTGGCATTCAGGTACAAACAATTATGTCAGATGCGCTTTGAATCAATTCAGTTTGTAAAAACAGCTAACGACTGATGAGCTAACAGCTAAGAACAAAGTGGATGGCAGCCACCTTACAAAAAATCTAATTAACAAATTTTTATCATTCAAATGTTATTTCATACACCATTACACCACTGTCCCTTTTGAATGACGCATTTATTTGCATGGAATTCTTTAATTAATTGCAAGAAAAATAGCAGCAACAGTTGCTGTAGCACTTCAGGTGCATCGCAGGAGCACGTCAAGCAAGACAGTCATCAAATTCTAATGTGTGATGAAAACAATGTAAAAGTAAAAAAAAAAAATTTAAGATTGGAGTTAATTTAAGATGGCAAAATCTGGATCTGCTCAGAAAAGAAGAGGCGAAAATTTGGCTTTGATCTGAAACCAAGTAAATACAGGGCCAATATTACCAACACCAGCCTGATACTTTTGAGTACTTAGGATGGATGCACCATCAAATTGTTCAATATGAATACATTTCCATGACCTGTGGGTGTTTTTGTGATTTTCTTTACCTTAATTTAATTAAACCTAGAACAGAATTTTTGCAAAGCTGACAAGTAAATACTTTATTAACATAATAAAAGGTTTTTCTTCAAAAAATAATGGAAAAGTAACAAAACTATTTTTCTGGAGTTTTAAAATGCGCAAAATTATCTCTTGAGAACAAATTAAAGCTAATTACTTTGTTCAAAAACACAGAATATAAAACTCAATAAAATAATCTCTTTCTCTTTTATAGAAACAGAATTATAAATTTTGATCTTATTGCAATGATTTTAATCAATATCAATACCAATGCTGGTATTGATTTCAGTATTTCAATTTATCTATCCACTTTTACTGAAAAACATTAAATCCTACAACCACTTGGTGTCCAAATAACGTGCAAACCAAAGCTTTCGTGCAAATACAGGCTAAAACCATATATAATATTTTCATTGTCAACAAGTAAAAGAGATATAATAAGAACGGTGAGATTTTGAAGATAGGATATATTTTAAAACAACTAATATCTTCAGTCCCCTTTGCACCATCCTGACAAAATCATATTGACTTGTCCAAGTGCAAGTCTCTGCTGTCTGGTTCATTAAAATGCTACAAAAAAGTTATTTTTGAAAAAAAAAAAAACAGACATTCCTGCTCGAAGTGCCCCCAGGATGTAACTATAGATGCTATTGCTATTTTTGCTTGCAAAATTCTCAGAACTTCATGTAAATTAGAGAAATTGCATTTCCCGTGTGAATGCTTGTTGCTGAAGATTTTAGCTGAAAGTTGCTGAAATGGAGCTGAAAATGTTTTATAGCAAAGCTGTTGATGCCAGTTCCATTTGAAA